CATAGAAAGGGAATGGACTGACTATTCTTGGGGGGAAAAGGGGTGTGGGAGATGCGGGAAGAGACTGGACAAAAATCGTGCACCTGTGGATGAGGACAGTGGGTGGGGAGTGAGGGAGGAGGGTGGGGTGGGAACTGGGTGGAGGGGAGTTATGGGGGGAAAAAAGAGGAACAACTGTAATAATCTGAACAATAAAGATTTAATTAAAAAAAAAGAAAAAGAAAAGAAAAGAATTTTATGGTTGGGGTCACCACAACACGAGGAACTGTATTAAAGGGTCGCGGCATTAGGAAGGTTGAGAACCACTGCCATAAATGAAGATTTATCAAGACACTAAGAGCTATCTTTCATGTTATAAAGGATACAATAACCTCATCATATGATTATAGCATATTCAATTAGTACTATTTCTAATACTAAAACATTAAGCATTTTCCAAGTTTAGCCATTATAAATAATCCAGTGACTATTATCTCTGCATTTTAAATTATTTTCCTTTGGGGAAATTTCTTAGAAGGAAAATTATTAGATCAAATAGTATCTTGATACATACTGCCAAATTCCTTTCCAGAAAGATTAAAATAATTTACAATTTGCCTGGCAACAGATAAAATAACCCATCTTGCCCTGGCAGGGTGGCTCGGTTGGTCAGAGCATCATTCCATATACCAAAAAGGTAGTGGGTCCGATTCCCAGTCAGGGCACATATCTAGGTTGCGAGTCTGATCCCTGGTGGGGGTGCATACTGGAGGCAGTTGATCAGTTCCTCCTCCTCCCTCTCTCTCTAGAATACATTAAAAAATATATCCTCAGGTGAGGATTTTTTAAAAAATCTCACCCCATCTTCACCCCACTGCGTATTAAATGTATAAATTTAATTTTTAATTAATTTAGTTTTCCAGTCCTCTAAAATGGTAGTTATTCCCTTTTATTTGAGAGTTCTGTTTACCTCTGAGTGAATATTTTTAAAAATTAATGGCTGGAATCTTTCATGGGTTGCAGTTGGATGGCAGCAGAAGCGGGAGTCCAGGCTCAGGTAGGCTGAATGTCCGAGATGGCTTCTTCATTCCTAAGCCAGGCTCAGTAGTGTTTCTCCTCATGGCCTCGCCCTCTAGCCCAGGAGCCTGGATTTCTCATGAGGTAGCTCAGGGCTCCAAGAGACTTGGAAGCAGTCTTTTTATAAGCTAGGCCTACATCTGGCACAGGGTCACTTTTGCCATGTTCTATTGATCAAATCAAAAGCCTGATAGTCCAGATTCAAAAGGCAAAGAGACATTCACATCTTGCTGGGAAAGTGGCGAACACAAACAGAAGGCCAGCCATCTTTAGAGACAATCTACCACATCTTTATTGATCTTTACTAATCTAAGCTTTTCCTGATGAAAGTATTTTAAATTTGTGTTGCTATAGTAATTTGTACGCTTTTTCTTTTATAGTTTACTAACCAGTTAGTGCTGATGTGAAGGAAAGATACTGTTTTTCATATGCTTATTTTGTATTTACTCATCTACTAAATGGTCTTATTTAATTCTCAGTTTAATATCTTTGTTTTCCTAAGAAGGTAATCATACTATCTTAAAATAAAGATAAAAATTTTCTCCTCTTTTTCAATAATCAAATACCTTATCTATTACACTGGTTAATCGACAAGCCTAATAAGATGCAGCCTTGTTCTGTTTCTGTTGTATAATTTTTTAAGTACAAATATATTAAAGTAATAAACTGGACATATATTATCAACATACACATTTCCCAGAGCTAAATTAAGCCACTTACTTTTATGTGTCAATGCAATACAAATGAATAGAAAGGCAGGTTCTTATTCCAGATAAATTAAATTCAGGGACAGAGATAATAAAACAAGATGAAGAAGAAAGCAACTAATATGTTTTGGACACTACAGTATTTTCTCCCTGAAATCTATAAACATCTAAAAATAAATCATAACAATAAAACATTCTATGGACTCCCTCAAATAGAAAATATCTCTAAATAAATATAAAACATCATAAATCTCAGCAATTGTCCTCTCTTCCCAAGCTTGACTATTTACACTAGACGTACAGAACCATTTTATGTACATTAACAAGTATTAGAATGTGGCTTCACAGCCCTCTTATACTCACAAGTAGCTGATAATTACATGGTGGAGTGTAGTATTCAGCATATGTCGTCAATGTACACCTAAGAGGGATAAGTCAGTATCTGAGAAAAGAATGACTTAAAAAACAAACATATTTAAATGTTTTAGTGGTGTATACTTTACATAAAATAAAACCATTTCAAGAAGGATTGGCCCCAATAAAAATTTTAAAACCCACAACTGTCTCAGCCTTGTTTACAGTGTTACCTATCACCAGCAGGAGGCCCTTCCTCCATTACTTCCAACTCAGCACCATCCACTACTCTCCTGTGCTAATGATATGCTACCAATCCCAAGGATTTTAAATTATTACCTGAGCTTGGGTGCATTCTGAACTTTTGGGACTCACTTTACCACCATTTTCTGCTCCTCAACTCTTTTTGATCCTATGCCCTATGTTCTCTGCTGGATGACAACTGAAAAGATAACAGCAGACAACCACGAGGACTGAGATAACATAGCTTCTCCAACCTCCCCCCATTAAACACGCAGTAATGCAGATGAAATACGCCCTCCCTCCCCAAAGTGTAGAAGCACAGCCAGGCTCAAAAGGGAAAACTTGAAATGTTGGAAATGAAGAACATACTCATTAGAATGGGAAGCCATAAGCTGATGTCCCAAGGATAGGACTGCAGTTTGAGCTGCATGTCAAAGAGCAGAAGACGTGGTCTTGGGGATTTCACAGAAGGCAAATTGCTAAACTCTTAGAGCCAGGAGTCTCCATATAATAGAGACCAAAAAACCACAGTAACCAGTCCAGGGAAACTTGCCAGAAAGTTTCTTTCTGTTTGAAACTGAGGGTGGGGTTTGGGAGGAAATTATTTTCCAATGAGAAATTAAAGTCCTAATTTTCTGTTCTGATAATATTATGAAATGAGATGGTCAAAGAAACTCCACGGGTAATTGCACATCTAAAAATATTGGGTACAGGGAAACTGAAACATTTCAATGCATGGCCAAGCTGGTGGGAAAGTAATATAATCCAACAAATAAAGAATTCCAGCCCTAGCCGGGTTGCTCAATGGATAGAGCATCAGCCCGCAAACTGAAGTGTCCCAGGTTCTACCTGGTGATAATCACCAATTCCTGACAAGAAGTGGTTTCCAGAGTAGTAGCTTGTTAAAGAAATGCAAATACTGTCATGTGCCGCATAATGGTGTTTCAGTCAATGATGGACCAAATATATGACAGGGGTTTCATAAGATTAAAATGGAGCTAAAAAAACTATTGCCTTGTGGTGTTGTAGTCATCATAACATTGTAGTGCAACACATTACTCACGTGTGTGTGGTGATGCTGGTGTGAACAAACCCACTGAACTGCTGGTGTATAGGAGTATAGCACATACAATTATGTAGAGCACATAATATTTGAGAATGATAATAAATGACCATGTTACTGGTTTGTGTATTTATATGCTATGCTTTTTATCACTATTTTAAAGTATATTCTTTCTGCTAGAATAAAAAGTTTTCTGTAAAGCAATATGCCGTGTTAACTCGGTCAGCAGACGCATACAGCTCATGACTGCATCATTTTCTTTTGTGCTTGATTTAATCTCATGTTATTTTGTACAGGAACAGGCCTGCGTTCTATGTTTGTAGCTTAGGAGCAATAGGCTATATCGTACAGCCTAGGTGTGCCGTAGGCTACACCATCTAGGTTTAAGTAAATACACTCCACCATCTTTGCACAACAATGAAATCGCCTAATGATGCATTTCTCAGAGTGTGTCTTTGTTGTTAAGCAGTGTGTGACTGTACTTCAGTCCCACTCGAGATCTACTGAATTAGAAATTCTGAGGGTGGGCCCAGCAATCTGTGTTGTCACAGGCCCTCTAGGTGATTTTGATGCACACTAAAGTTTGAGTACTGGAAACTAAAAGAACAAAAATTAGAAGTGTAACTTTCAAACCAGCAAATAGGACTTTTTTTTCCCCCAAAAGAGGCTAATCTAATACAAAGCAGGAACTGTGAATACCAGAAAGGAAAATCAATTTCTGCTTGCCAGACAAATTAAAATCATAAAATTAAATATCTTTGCAATCACAATGAAAGTAAAGGGGTAAAGCCCATCAGGGAAAGTATTTTCTCAGACTTAAATTGAACTACAAATTGTGTTATGCAGTCTGATTCTATGCTGTTATACCTAGAATTATTTTCAAATAAAGTTTGAAAGCAAAAGAATATAAAAGATATATCATACAAATATTAACCAAAAACTATTAATTATAAAGATTTGCTAATCATTACCTACTGATTAAAGGAATAAGTCACCAAGAATATATGACATACTCAACAACACATAAAATATGTAAAGCAAAAAATGACAGAATCACAAAGATAAAATGATAATTCCACAGGCATAGAGGAGGACTGTAAAACATTCCTAGATCCTTCAGTTCCTTAAATCCAAATTTCTACATACATCCTCCAAAACTATACATATCAACAGCAACGCAAATAAAATCACACAATTTTCCATGCATGCAGCATAATAGAGGCCAGAAAAGTCTACAAACTTCAGTTTAATGTAGTGAGGAGAACAATCCAGAAATGGTAGAGTTAGACCCGAGCCCAAGCTGGAGCAAAATCGGGCAGGGATTACATGGAAGAGAGGAAAGAGTGGCAACTCCCCAGTGGGGATGGAACACAGAGAACATGGACCCAGAAATAGAGCATCCTTCTCTGATGGGGAAAAACTGAGACCAAGTCTGAGACTAGAGGATTTGAACATTGGCTTTTAAGAAAGAGGCTTGGAAAGTATGCAAGACCACAATGGCAGCCTTGGTGTGCAATGATTCCAAGGAAGCGGGGGTGGGGACAACTGGCAAAATAAAGAAAAATAAGAAATCAAGCCCAGAAATTAAGGGTCCTAAAACCACCGCTCCTCCAAAAAAAAGAATAATAATTTAAAAAGTCATTAATGAAATAAAGTTCACTTCACTGTTCTAACAGAAGAGGGCACTCTTGAACTAAAATATTGAGGAAATGGTCCAAACTTCTTATTCCCCCCCTCCACAGAATTTACCTGATCGCTGCTAGGCCAGGAAAATTAAACATACTTAAAATGTAAAAAAAAAAAAAAAAAAAAAAAAAAAAAAAAAGAAAACATTACTATGAGAAGAAAACAGTAAATAAGAATAAAAACTAAGCTGATGAAACTCCTCCCCAGAAACATTCCTGGTCAGAGAAGTCCTCTATCAGCTTTTCTATTCAGCGATGCACTAGATATTCTATCAAAGGCAGTAAAACAAGAAAAAGAATCATTAGTATAATAATTGGAATGGAAGAAACAAAATTTTCATTGTCCACAGATAATAAAACTGTCTACATCTAAAAATCTAAGAGAATCTTTGAATCATAACATCAGGCAAGTTTCAGGACGGTTGTTGGATATAAGATCAATACACAAAAATAGTATACTCATATATCAGCAATAAGAAATTAGAAAGCATGACTAAGTGGAAAAATCCCATTTATAATTGCAATAAAATTTCTAAAATTCCTATAGCAATATATGTAACAAGATTTATGATATTTATGAAAAAATACAAAATTTATTGAAAAACATAAAATAACTCCCTTGTTTATGACTCAATCAATATCTATACTAATAAAAGGGTAATATGCTAATTAGTCCAGACATCTTCCAGACATCCTTCCAGACAAAGCCACGGTGGCGGGGGCCAAGGCAGAGGCGGTTAGGGGCAACCAGGACGGCAGGGAAGCAGTTAGGGGGTGATCAGGCCGGCAGGCAGAGGCAGTTAGGGGCGACCAGGCCGGCAGGGGGGCAGTTAGGGGGCAACCAGGCTGGCAGGGAAGCAGTTAAGGGATGATCAGGCCGGCAGGCAGAGGTGGTTAGGGGCGATCAGGCAGGCAGGCAGGCGAGTGGTTAAGAGTCAGCGGTCCCGGATTGCAGTCGGATATCCCCTGAGGGGTCCCAGATTAGAGAGGGTGCAGGCCGGGCTGAGGGACCTCCCCCTTCCCAGCCCCCATGCACGAATTTCATGCACTGGGCCTCTAGTATGTTACATATGTGTTTATATATGTATATATACACATATATGTGATTTCTAAAATGTTTACAGTCTGACATTATATATGTTTTGATCAAATTATAATTTAAAACTTCTATTGATCAAAAGACAGCTTGAACAGTTAGAAGAGAAGCCATAGAGTAGAAAAATCATAAAATTAATCAAAACAAGATTAATACCCAGAATAAACATTATTAATGAAATCATGAAAGACAGAATCCCATAGAAAAATGGACAAAGCCTATAAGCAGTCAATTCACAGTAAAAGAAACCAGAAGGCTAGTAAATATTTTAAGATAAATTCAGTGATTAGTGAAATGCAAAGTAAAACAACAATGAAGTACCATTTCATACCCATAAGATTGGTAAAAATTAAAAATATTTTTAAGGATATGAAAGAATGTGTATATTTATACACTACTGGTGGCAGTGCCTTGCTAAATTGAAGGTGCATATATCTTAATACCCAGAAATTCTGTTTCTGAGTATAAAGAAATCCTTGCATATATACTCGAGGAGACATGTATAAGGATAGTCAATGCAACCTCATGTGTAATGGTGAAAATCTGGTAGGTAATGTCCAACAATAGAGTGAATATATTGATGGCTATGTAAGTCATTATAAATTATTTCTCTAAAAAATATAAAGCAAATTTTGTAAAGATGTTAACTTACATTTATAATCAGGTAATGAGTAGATAAATGGGAGTTTGAATAGTATTTATATATAAATATTTAATAATCTTAACATGGAAATATAAAGAAAATATTCCATAATCTTAAGATGTTTAAGTATTAATAGATGACAATGAACTTATTTGCCTATCTTTTCTTTTCCAAAGTTATGACTCAAATGATATGATTATCAGTCAAATATCACAGTTTGCTTTGGGCAGGCCAACTTGCAAGGCAGCATTGGGCATCTCTCCACTCACTTAAAGTAGGCAGAAACCCATTCCATCCGTGCTCAGGCCCTTCTCCCTACCTTATTATCACCTCCCAG